TCTAAACCACTAACTCTGGACTCCTTATTGCATGAAAAAGGCAAACCCCTATTTGTTGAGGCCACAGAAACAATGGTTCTTCACATGCTATCATAAACAATGGGCAAAATATACCAAAACGTGTACTTTGTGGAGGAAACACTAGTAAAAGGAGCCTTTGACAAGGAACAGATACTGCTTTCCCCTGCTTTGTGAGGTCAGAGAACAGATTCTGAAATCAGGTTGCACAGTTTGAATACTGGTTCTTCAGGGGCCACTGTCCTACACCAAGTTTTGATGCAAATCAAAAAAGGCAACTCCTCTAGGCAGATACAAGTCCACTGGGCCCACAGCTTGGTGAAAAGGTCCTATCTTTTAATGAATTTGAGAGAGGATTTGGTCCTTCCAGCAAACTCAGCCTCATACTAGCATCCATAACTCGTTAACCAGAGTGGGGGCCAGATTTCAGACTCCTGGACCAGGTGTCATTGATACACAGTGGTCATGGGGTCCACCACCTCCCACTTGTGAAGCCTGGGCCAGATGAATGGATTTCCCTTTGCCTTGATTTCTTTATCTAAAAGAAGCAGCTAGTAATAACATGCTATCTTTACATGCTATCATACACAGTGGGCAAAATATATCAAATATGCATTTTGTGAAGGGAACACTTGTGAAAACAGACTTTGGGCCAGGCACAGTGGCTCCTGCCTGTAATCCTAGCACTTTGGGAGGCTGAGGAGGGCCCATCACGAGGTCAGGAGTTCAAGACCAGCCTGGCCAACTTGGTGAAACCCTGTCTCTATTAAAAATACAAAAATTAGCTGGGTGTGGTGGTGCATGCCTGTAATCCCAGCTAGTCAGGAGGCGGAGGCAGGAGAATCACTTGAATAGAGATGGATGTTGCAGTGAGCCAAGATCGCGCCACTGTACTCCAGCCTAGGTGACACAGTGAGACTCCATCTCAAAAAAAAAAAAAATTAAAAATTAAAAATTTTAAAAAAGAGAGAGAGAGAGAGACTTTGGCAGGGAACCTTACTGGATCATAGATTAGGGAACTGGTTTGGAGACTCCTTTGAAGCAATGAGTTTAAGCCTAAACTCGACTTTCTCTCTTTCAGAGTTATTTTGCATATTAAATGAGATACCCAGTATCTATGTCTGCAAGACAGAAAGTATACTACCTACTGTTATTAACAATGCAATGGCCATTATCATCCTTATCACCACCATCATTACCATCATTTTCCTTCCCTCATAATTTGTTTACAAACCCCTGAAATGTTGACCAGCAGATAATGACTCAATTATTCTTAAATTTAGAATCCAGTTGAATGATGGCCCACAGCTCTGCCTCCATCATGTTCATGAGCTCCTCATCTCTCTCAACTAAATCCCAAAGCATTGCCTTGATTCCAAGCATCAGTCTGTCCTATCTGCAGCAGCATCCACCCAGAAAAAATTTAATTACCAACAGTTCTGTTGAGTCAGCTGAAGAATGAGGACTTGTACAATAGCTGTCTCAGTTTATTGTCATATCAGCACAAATAGAAGATTTTTCTCAAAGTGAGAAGGAGGAGCAGAGGGTGGTCTGGACCCTCCTAAAGGAGGAATAAAGGGCTGTGTTGAGTCTGGAAGCTCAGGTCAGGGTTTTGTTGATGAGCAATCAATAAGGCAGGACCAGTGGGTAGAGATTCTTGCTCTGTGTTTAGAGCTGGGACAACAGCCTGTGGAATGTGGATCCCAGGAAGTGGTAGATCCAAGGGCAAACAGCCATGTGATTCCTCCGTTTCTCCCCTCACACTCAGCCATAACCATAGGTGTGAAAACAGGTGGAAAGCATCACTGACAAGAAGCTCATTTAGGAAGAGCACCAGCAGCATTGGGAGGGGGGAAAGCCTGGGAGATCCATGTAACAGAGGAGCCCTGGCCCCTCCACCAACTGCCCCCACCCCATGTATGGCTGGTATCAGGTCTTCAGAGGAAGGGAGTTGTCCCTAGGAAAGGGAGCAGGGACAGAGTGAAGAATGAGGCTGGGAGAGGAGTAAGGAGCCAAGAGGATGGCGATAGACTGAGATGAACTCAGCAGTGAAATTCCACAGTGGCAAAATGGCAAATCTACATTAGAGAGTGGTGATTCCTGCAGTGCCTGTCAATGATGCCTCAATGTCTCCCCCCTCAAGCCTCCAAACAAATTTCCATTGCTCACTGATGCCTGATGTAAGTGGACTCACCTGAGGAGGACACAAAGAGAAGATGAGATGCACAGCTAGGTCCTCACTTTGCTCAACAGAGGCATCTCAGGATGTCTGAGCAGTCCAGAAACAGTGAGCCCTCGGGACTCTGCAGAAACCCAGGGGAGGGGCTCTGGACTTCCTCAGGGATTGGCAGGGGTTTGAGTCATTTACATCTTTGAAGGGCAAAGGTTCCCAGTGGAGATCTGGGCTATGCATCCAGGGCCCCAGTTGGACAGGAGTCTGCACATTTCATCTTCTGCAAAGCCTGTTTGGAAGGAGGGTGGGGTGCCTTCAAAATGGAGACTCCGAAGATATCCATGCAGATCCCAGCTCTACACTTACAGGCTGCTTGGCCTTGAGAAAGCTCCCTGACCTCTTGGAGTGTTATTTTCATCTGGCACGGTGCCTGATTCCTAATCGCCCTCAACCACTCTTCAATGACTGCAAATGAGCCTGGTGCTGAAGACAGTCTTTATGCAGAGATAGCTCCACAGACCCAGCCTGAGGGAAAGCTGTGTGGGGAGGAGGGAAGGCTGAGTGCTCTGTCTCCGGGGAACAAAGAGGAGCAGGGGCACCACCAACCCTCTGCCCCAGGTCTTCTAGGGTGGTCTGCATTTCGCCCCAAATACATAGCTACACGTTATGCCATGTAAAGGTGTGGAGTAGAAGCAGGGATGATCTTGAAAACGATTAGCAACTGGTACAGTCAGAATGGACGCCATCTGTCACTGGTGTGTATCAGCCACGTGTATAAGGTATTCGTGGGCGCAGAAAATAGCATCCCTATAGGCAGCACATTGTGATCAACTCATGGCCTTTGACGGAACATGTATGCTGGTCCCTGCTTTACAGCCTCACTTAAAGCCACGCAATGTTGGAAATAGCCCTTCTCTCCATGAGTGTCAAATGCCTCAGCAATAAAGTGAGTAGAGAATGCCCTGCAGAGCTTAAGTCAGGGTGAGGGAAGCAGGGTGGGGTGGAGTCAAGCAAGGGAGCAATTTCTGGAGTCCCAGCCTCAGACCCCAGCCTTGGGGAGCTCTGGGGCACAAACAAGCCCTCGGACTCTGATGGAGTTTGGAGACCTAAGAGCTGGGCATTTTGCACCCACACTGGTCAATTGGTGACTACAGGTTGCTCCCATTGTGGCATGGACTCCCAGGCGCGGTGGCTCTGCCTATGCTCAGAGACTCCAGTTCCCAAGAACAGTCCTCTGACTGTGGCGGTGTAGGTGACAGCCATCGCAGCAAAACAGTTTCTGGGCCGGGGAGCACAGAATGGGTTACAGGGATGGGAGGGGAGGACCACATTACCTGGAACTCTTAGGGGAATCAAATTAAACAGTTTTGATGCATGTTGGAGTTTTTTCATCTTCCCATCTCTGGGTGCAATAATGCTGATAACCACTTACATGTCTCTAACCATAAGCCAGGCACTGTTCTAAGTGCTCCACATGAATTCACTCATTTTATTCTCACCTCCAGATGTGAAAACTGGGGCACAAAGAGGGAAAGTAACTTGCTCAAGGTCACGCAGCCAATAGGTAGCAAAATGGGTACTTGTGCCTGGAAAATCTAGGTCCACAGCCCCTGCTCTTAAACACCATGATGTGCTGCATTCGGGTGTGGCCAGGGCCATTCTCCCTCATGTGCTGTTCCGTATGGCAGTTGCCTGTACCTAAGTGTCAATTCAAACTTAAGTTTTTTAAGTTAATGAAATTTAAAAGGCAGTCTTTCGTTTGAACTAGGCACCTCTAAAGTACCTCATGTAGAAAGTGGCTACCAGTCATATTGGACAGTGTATACACAGAATATTTCCAATAGAATGTTCTACTGGACATTAAATACACACACACACACACACACACACATATATATATGTGTGTGTGTGTGTGTATATATATATATATATTTTTTTTTTTTTAGATGGAGTCTCACTCTGTCACCCAGCCTGGAGTGCAGTGGTGCAATCTTGGCTCACTGCGACCTCCACCTCCCAGGTTCAAGCAATGCTTCTGCCTCAGCCTCCCAAGTAGCTGGGATTACAGGTGCGCACCACCATGCCTGGCCAATTTTTTGTATTTTCAGTAGAAATGGGGTTTCACCATGTTAGTCAGGCTGGTCTCGAACTCCTGACCTCAGGTGATCCACCCGTCTCGGCCTCCCAAAGTGCTGGGATTACAGGAGTGAGCCACTGTGCCCAGCCAAGGTATTTAATGAAATAATAGCTAAATACACATTAGCTATTATTACTTCTGCTACTTCTACTCATTATCTTTGTTGCTTTTATTATTGTTGCTAATATAAAGCTGGAAGGAACCACCATAGAGCTCATATCACATCACAGATGGGGAAATCAAGGCACGGAGAAGGAATTCTGCATAAAGGTGACAAAGCCAGAACTCTCTCTCGATTCCCTGGATGGCCGCCTTTCCACCAGTGTGCTATAAAACAATTCCACAGCCATTTTAGCACTTCAACTTCAAGCTTTGTCTGTGGGGTTTAAATATTCCATCTCTGACCAACCGTGAAACCATGGAAACTGAATGGCAAATTGAAAAGGCAGCAAACAAATTAGCTTGCAAAACCCCACAAATGATATAATCGCTCCAGTATTTAAGCTGCAGATATTCTCTGCATTTCAACCAAGGCCCTTCTCAATTGCTTTTGTAAACCTGCACTTGCGTGTTCCACGTTCATCATCAGCCCACACAATACTGTGGCCAGACTCTACACCCATCCTCAGCTCCACAGATTCAGAGCCCAAACTCAAAAGGGGTGAAACTTACCCTTGACCCAGACCTTTACCCACTCATCCTGGGCAGGAAGGCCAAAACACATGAACAGGTCTCCAGTTCTGTTGTTTTATTCCTCCTGGGAGGCTCCAAAGATAAGTAAATAGGAGTGCTAGTCTGTGGGTGGGAAGAGAGTAAAATTGTTTAAAGTGGAACAAGGGGGAAATTATAATAAAAACTAGCCAGAAACAGAGAGGCATCTGTGGTAGACTGCATTAACGGTTCAATTTTTCACCCTTCTGGGATCCACACCTTTTGCCAATTAAATGGGGTGCTGCATTTCCCACTATGCTACAGCATAATTCTTTACCTCTATGGGATTTTCTCTGGCCAGTGGAATGCTAGTAAATGTAACACAGAGTCCTGAAAGCTCTTGTGTAATTGAGCTTGCTCCTTCTTGTGCCATGAGAAGAACATGCCCACTCGTCCCAGAGAAGATGGAAGAGAGGCAATGGGGTCAGAGCTGCCTCAGCTTACCTAGCCCAGATAAGCCCAGATGAAAGCAGGGCATGCATTCCTCCTACCCATGCTGACCCAAAAAAGCATGAGTGAGTCCAGCCGAGGTCAACAGGGAGCCCACCTTAGCCCAGCCAGTCCTCGCACAAGAGGCATGATCTGTAATAAATGACTTGTTTTAAGCCACTGAATATGGGGGTTATTTGTGACTCAGCAAGAGCTAACTGATTCAGCATCCTTGATTCCTCTCTCCCTCACTTCCCACATCCAATCCATCAGCAAGTTCCAAATAAATCTACCCACTTCTTTGCAGTTGCATGGCCACACACTTAGCCCATTCCAACATCATTTCTCGCATAAACCACTGATTCTCTCTCACCTACACTCTTGCCTGCCTCCGATCCATTCTCAACACAGAAATTGGGATTCCTTTTTCAAAGCAAAATTGAATCAGGTCTCCCTAGACCTAGAGTAGAGATAAATCTTGATAAAATACCAGCTCCTAATGACGCCCGCCAGGCCCCTACAGGATCTATCCCCTGATGACCTCTTCCAACTCTGTTCATCCCACTCTCCCTGAAGTCTGACCAACCTTCTTTTGGTTCTTGAAACAATGCCAAACTCTTTCCCACATTGAGGTCTTTGCACATTCGGTTCCCTCTGCCTGAAATGCTTTCCTGCCTATTTTTAGCACAGCTAACTCTTTCTCTCCCTTGAGCCTCATCATAAATATACTTCCCTGGCTGTATTCCTAAAGAATGGTTCCCTATGCTTTCTCCATCTCAAACTAGCTATCTCTTTCTTTGAATTACTGAAATTGGCTACTATTTTATTCCTTTGTCTGGTTTCTTTATTCATTGACTCAAAAGTTATTTATGAAGCTCCTATTACATGCCAGGCATTGTTCTAGGTGCTGGGGAGGCCACAGTGAACAAGATAGACCAACTCCTTCCCCTCATGGAGTGCTCCTAGTTGGGAATACAGGCACTGAACAAGTAATAAATAAATTGTGACTCACACACCTTGCTATCTGTCGGGTGTCTGGTCATGCAATCAGGGCAACAGAGTAAACAGGGGAGACTCCACTGGCGTTGACTGCTCTGCTTAGCAGAATTGGTTGCAAGTGAAATAGTGAGAGAAATAAAAAGTATACACAGACCCAGAAACTCTAGATCAATCTCTTCTAGCCAGCACTCCATTTCATCCCTTTGTGATCTCATCCTCATTCTGTTGAACAGCCCCTCTCGGTTCCTCCCCCAGTCTTAAGTTGTCCTGTCTTCAATGTTGTTTACTTCATTTGCACAGGATGTCTCTCATTATTATTTGTGGGGGCCCCAATACCTAACCAACTTAGTGTGGGAGATCAGACTCCCATCCCCATTGTACCCTTCGCTCCATTCGATCAAAGCCCAGCTGTGTTCTTGACTCACCTTACCCTTGTGCTCATCAGAAAATAGACCTCTGGCCGGGCTGAAATCTCCTTACTTTTTGTCTACTTCTCCACAGGGCAATAATGATTTATAGCAGTTCCCATGAATTCGCAGACTTCCCACATTATATTTCTTCTAGCTCTAGCAAAACTTGATAACGTTTCCTTCTCTAATGCAATAAATTTACCTTCTGGTAAATACTACTCTACTCAAGAGAGATAATGTAATTTTAAATAGTGATAAATGAGATGAAGAAAATAGAGCAGTCCTCTGTTTAATAGAAGTGGCAAAAATGGGCATCCTTGTCTTGCTCCAGATCTTAAAGAGTAAAAGCTTTCAACTTATCTCTGTTCAGTACATCAGCCTTGGGTTTGCCATATACGGTTTTTATTGTGTTGAACCACATTTCTTCTATTCCTAATTTGCTGAGAGTTTTTATCATGAAGGGATGTTGAATTTTGTCAAATGCTTTTACTGCAGCTATTGAAACGATCATATATGGTTTTTGTCTATTTGGTCTCTTCAACAGGTACTAGAAGTCCTAGCCAGAGAAACAGACAAGAGAAAAAAATAAAAGGCATTCAAATTGAAAAGGAAGAAGCTAAATTGCCTCTGCTTGTAGGCAACATAATCTTATATGTAAAAAACCCTACAGACTCCACTAAAAAATTGTTAGAACTCATAAACAAATTCAGTAAAGTTGCAGGACACAGTGTCAACATACAAAAATCAGTAACATTTCTATACACTAATGGAACACTATCTGAAAAAAATCAAGACAACAATCCCATTTATAACAGCTACCAAAAAACTACTTAGAAATAAATTTAACCAAGGAAGTGAAAGATCTCTACACTGAAAACTATAAAACATTGAAGAAAAAATTAAAGAAGACACAAATAGATGAAAAGGTATGCCATGTTCATAGATTGGAAGAATTAGTATTATTAAAATGTCCACACTACCCAAAGCTATTTATAGATGCAATGTAATTTCTATCAAGTTATCAATGACATTCTTCCCAGAAATAGTTTTTAAAAATCTAAAATTAATATAAAGTCAAAAAAAGATCCTGACTAGCCAAAGCAATCTTGAACAAAGAGACCAAAGCTGTAGGCATCACACTACCTGATTTGAAAATATATTAGAAAGCCACAATAAGAAAAACAGCATGGTACTGGAATACAAAAAGACACATAGACCAATGCAATAGAATAGATTGCCCAGAAATAAATTCATACATATATTGTCAACTTATTTTCTGCAAAGATGCCAGGAACACATGATGCAGAAAGGACAGTCTCTTCAATAAATAATGTGGGAAAAACTGGATATCTACATGTGGAAGAATGAAATTAGACCCTTATCTATCACCATATACAAAACTTCACTCAAATGAATGGCTATTATCAAAAAGCCAAAAAATAATAAATGCTAGTAAGGATGTGAAGAAATGGAAACCTTTAAACCCTCTCACTGGAAATATAAATCAGTTTAGCCATTATGGAAAACAGTATAGAGGTTTCTCAGAAAATTAAAAATAGAACTACCATATGATCCAGGAGTCTCGTTCCTAAGTATATATACAAAAGAAATGAAATCAATATGTCAAAGAGATATCTGCATTCCTATGTTTATTGTAGCAGTATTCACAACAGCCAAGATATGGAGTCAATCTAGCATCCATCAACAGATGTATGGATAATAAAAATGTGGTACATATACACAATGGAATAGTCTTTAGCCACAAAAAGGAATGAAATCCTGTCATTTGTGGCAAGTGAACCTGGAGGACATTATGTTATGTAAAAGAAGCCAGACAGAGAGACAAATACCGTGTGCTCTCACTAATATGTGGGAGCTAAAAAAAGTCAAAACTCGTAGAAATAGAGATTAGAATGGTGGTTGCCAGAGGCTGGTGGGGAGGAGTAAAAGGGGAAAGTGGAGAAGTTGGTCAACAGGTGCAAAGTTACAGTTAAGAGGAATAAGTTCTGATGTTCTATTGCACAGTAGAGGGACTACGGTTAATAATATTGCATTGTATTGCATATTTTACTTTTTTATTATTATTTTTTTTATTTTTTTGAGGCAGAATCTCACTCTGCCACCCAGGTTAGAGTGCAGTGGTGCAATCTCGGCTCTCAGCCCACTGCAACCTCCACCTCCCGGGTTCAAGTGATTCTCCTGCCTCAGCCTCCTAAGTAGCTGGGACTACAGGCATGCATCATCACACCTGGTTAATTTTTGTATTTTTAGTAGAGATTGGGTTTCACCATGTTGGCCAGGCTGGTCTTGATCTCCTGGCCTCAAGTGATCTGCCTGCCTAGGCCTCCCAAAGTGCTGAGATTACAGGAGTGAGCCACCTGTAATGTGGTGCCCGGCCTGCATTCCGTATTTTAAAATAGCTAGAAAAGAGGATTTTGAATGTTCTCATTGCAAAGAAATGATAAATGTTTGAGAGGGCAAATATGCTAATATAATCATTACAAAATGTATACATCTATCAAAACATCTCTGTACCCCATAAATATGTACAATTATTATTTGTCAATTAAAAATAAAATAAAATTTTAAAAAATAGGGGAGAGAATATGGCTTAGGTAGCTGCCCTAGTCTGTGTTCAATCAACATTTGTTGAATTAGTAAATTAACAAGTGAAAGAAACAATTAAGGGTCTTGCAGGTTTTCTTCTCCTCCCCAAGTCAAGCTTCTTTCCGCACCTCCATTTTCTGCCTTCTCCTGAGAGTTAGACTGAATTAACTGGGTGTTTCTTTCTCCAGATGTGAGCATATTCCAAACCAGAATTAGGAAAAACGAAAAAAGGAGGCTTGCCAGTCAAGTCTCTTCCTAGTTATCAGGGAAAATAATGTTTCGCTGGGTGCCCCATCCCATAAACCTCCACTGAGCTCTCAGTGGTCAGAACTGTGCCATGTCTGCCCCTAAGTATCAGGTAGCTGGAAGAGGAGGCTGTGAATGGGGGTGGGATCAGCCACTAACAGTGACTGTTATGGGTTAAGTTATGTCCTCCACAAAGCTATGTTCCAGCTATGCATCCAGTGATGCATGTGAATGTGACTTTATTTGGAAATAGGGTCTTTATAGATGTAATTAGTTCCTGGAGTAGAGTAGGCCCTTAAGGCAATATGACTAGTGTTCATATAAGAAAAGAGGGGCACAGGGAGAAGACAGCCATGTGACAATGAAGGTAAAGATTGGAGTGATGCTGCCACA